AAGTTTTCTTTTCCTCATGTACGAAATTACAACATTCGTTGCATTGTGTGATCAAATTTGATGAAAACAATTCCTATTGATACAAAACTGATGTCTGTGGCAGACATTTGAAAGCAGCATACTATTCATCTTGTTGATTTAACATCAAATTTCTGAGATATTTCATTGAAAAGAAAAACTCCAACCTTAAAAATGATCAAAATGATGGATTAAGATTTGGAATTAGTAGAAACTGTTAAAACTGTTAATTCAATTTCATAAATATTAAACTTTTATGTGAACAAAATTCATGATATTGCCACCTAGTGTTTTAGGTTCAAATTTCTTGGCTGATGAGATCACAAATTTTTTTTTTCCCAACTCTTTAGTGTAAGTTTATATATTGTTGTATAAAAAAATGTTGGTATTTGAATGCAAGGGCAAAGCCAAAAAGTTAGTTCACTGAGAGCACTACTGTAATGGAAAATACGTGACTCTATCCTTGTTGCATCCCAACAATAGTGTGCGAAGAGCCAAAATTTTGTTTTTCAATTTTTATGGTGAGGCATTTTGTCGAGCACTTGGCCGACTCATACCATTTTGTGCTTAGCATACATTCATGCACCTTTAATGCTCTTTTAGTTATATGCCTTTAGGAATAAAATAAAAAGTTAAATTATATATGTATAGGGTTAGGAGCTCAAATTTATAACACGATTGGAAGAAAGGAGGGTTAATGGACCTTTAACTATTTTAAGAAAAGAAAGCTGACTAACTTTAAATTTATATTAAAAAAAAATTGTGTTGTTTCACTAAAAAACATGTAGTTTTTAAGCTGTTCTTTTTCTTCGGGTGAGCTGCCATAATCAAATTGGATAATCACCTCGTGATATCTTGGATGAGGATCGAGTGATAGAGTTACATGGGAGAGATGACGATGTTGCTTAGCTTTTGTTGAACTCGCTTGTTTCATGGAGAACGATTGAAGAAGAGAGATATTTTGGGAGTAATTTTATCAACCAAGTATATTATTTACAATCTAAACAAAGTCAGAGGGGGCAATTGCCCCCATGGTATTGAAAATTGCACTATTTTAAAATCTCTGCCTAGGTGTTTGAAAATTAAGAAAGGGTGCCTTGACCTATTAAGGTACCTGCCTAGGTTGCGACTCACTTAGACAAAAAATAGATAACTTTCATTTTGCATTTTTTTTTCAAGAAATTGTAAGACACTTGTTAAATACTTAAATGAATACACATTATATGCTTGTTTCTCACGTTTTCATTATGTTCCAATAACTCATAATATATATATATATATATATCATTCTATTTTGTAATTTATGATGAAATTATATATATTTTAAGTTAAATTGACACTTATTTAAACGAAATATAATATATTTAATTAAATTCGCCTAGGCGCTCGTCTAGACCCCGCCTAGCTGCCTAGGCGCTAAACCCCAGCTTGCCGCCCGATTAGCGCCTAGCGTCTTTTAGAATCTTGGAAAATTGTATTCTTTTTTCATATAGATGCACGGAAAGTGGAATGGAAACAAAATCTCAGGTACTAAAAGAATGTTTTGTTCTCTTCACTTGATCAAGGTTTAGGTTTGAGTTTCATTGTCAACAATTTCTCTTGGTGGGGATCTTTGAAGAGAGAGAGAGAGAGAGAAAGAGAGAGAGAGAGGTTAAGACTCCCTCTATAAGTTTTCAATGAGGCTTGTGGTATGTCTTAGCCCTAAAATGGGGTAGCCTCCCCTTCCCCTAAACTTTTTTGTTACAAAAAAAAAAAAAAAAATTATTTGAAATTTCATTTCTAACGTAAAAATAGGGTTTGATCCTTTTTTTTTTTTTTTTTTGGGGTGATGCAATCATTTAAAATGAGTAATATTTTAATCATGCATTTTATATCCACATATCCAAAAGCAAATCAAGGACAATTCCTAATTCCATTATTTATTGTTTTTCCACCAAGTCACTTTCGTTTCTGTTATTCGGAGGCATCGACAAGAAATGTAGAGATGATGTAAAGACTGATGCATGCAAAAGGCCATGGGTTCATATCGTCCAGCAAATCACATCAGCTCCGCCCATATCACAATATAACAATGATGTGGCACCATGTGGTTGGATGATGGAAATTGTTGGAGCCAATACGATTTAAGTCTCGATCATAAAGAGTAGACACGGCAGTTTCTTACATGACATTGTGACACGACACGAAAATAACGAATTTTGGGTAAACACGATAACTAATCGGGTCATTATCGGGTGACCCGTTAAGAACGCGTTAACGAGTATACACGCGGGTAACAAGTGGGTAACTTGTTTTCGACCCGTTAAGAAAAATAAATTATAATTTTAAAGTTTAATTACTAAAAAAATTATTATAAAATACAATAGCCATATTGTATATATTGGTATATTCTATATTAAATACATATTTTTGTATTATTATTCTAATAAGTTAAAAAAATTAAGCTTTATTCATTTATTTATTTTTATTATGAGAGTTTCTTGTTTTCATTAATAGGATAAATTTTGGGAATTGTTATTAGCACTCCAAAAATCTCATTCTACACTCCAAACTTTCTATATTGGAAAAGAAAAATACACTTGTGAGGAGTGTAGAATAAGATTTTTGGAGTGTCAATAACACTTCCCTAAATTTTACTTAACATGTTGTTGTCCAAAATTAAAATCAACAAGTATAGTATTAGTATAGGCAATAGGACATCCCTACAAGTATGAAAAATGTGAAATAATATATAAACACTCGTGATTCATCATTCCTCCACGAGTAGACAATGGTTACACTTACATTATCGTTTAGATTTTTAAAACCCTCCAAATCATCATGAGCAGTGTTTTTTATTTGAGTGTAAAAGTAATAAAATTAATAATAATTATTGTAGAAGTGTAAGAAATGTTAAAAAAGGAAAAAAAAAAAATATATATATACACAATCATATATATATATATATACACACACAATCACTCATAGTGACAAGCTTTACAATTTCTGTGAAGGGGTCAACTTCGAAATCCGACACTATAATCCATAAACCTTAAATTTGCATTCAACCGTTGATTGTCGTTTAGGCTTTATTCTTTATATTGAATTTCACTTTTAAAATTTTCTTTTTTGAAAACATGATCTTCTGGGGGATGTAAGAAGACGAACGGTTCGGATCTTTGATATCACGTCCCAATATTTACGGTTAATTGAAATATGAGTCGAAGTTATATAGTTTGTAGAGACTTTATAAACACCAAGCAATATTTTCACCAACGGTAAAACTTTGAACATAATATCAACGATCCGAACCGTTCATCTTCTTGTATCCTCTAATAGATCATGTTTTAAAAAAACAAAATCTGAAAGAAAAAAAAAAAATTGGTGAGAAAAAGCATAAATGTGTAGATAACAATTGACGGTTAAATTTTGATCTATGATTTATATGATTATAGTTCAAAGTTAAGCCCTTTACAAAAGTTGTAAAGTTTGTCATTACGAGCGTTTATAAATTTTTTTCTATATTTTTCACGCTTCTACATTAATTAAAAAACTATTAAATACTTTACTTAAACAATAGCCATAGGATAAATGAGAAGAGAGTGCTAATGTAGAAAGCCTCACTGAAAATATCATCAATATAACTCTTGAAGACAATATATCAAGTCAAAGTTCCAATACTGTTTCTCTTGGTGATTGATGAAAATTGAAGAGTTTGATTGTAAGAAAATGTGCAAGGTTCCAAACCTTGAAACATAACTTCCTTAATTTTGCAAATCTTTTGAACATTTGATATTTTATAATGTTCTAATGTTTTTTTATTTATTATGCTCTTATTTTGGGTATGTAAATATGTAATACTTGAAAAACAAATGCGTTTTTATGTTTTGAGTGTAATAATATGGTATACATATACTTATTTAGTATTATGTTTTTCATTTGATTATGTATTGGTTTAAAATATATTTTCCTTAACAGGCAACGGGTCGGGTCATATTACCTATTAATATTATCGGGTCGATTTCGGATCGGGTCATTTTAACCGTTTATTTTAACGGGTGTTACACGACACGACCCGTTAAGATATCAAGTATGACACGAAAACGACACGAACACGAGAAACACGACACGAATGTCAGGTCTAATAAAGAGGCATCAAGATGACACTTTCTAGAGCGACTTGGTCTCATTATTGGAATCGTCTAATTTTTATATTTATATTATAAAACCATCGCTTGAAACTCAGAACTCATATTTCCTTATCATTATAAACGTTTTGATTGGTCTTATTCATTGTGTTTGTCAGTATATTTAGATGATTACAGTATTAGAAATTTAGAATAGTCTTTGAAATAAGGACTTGATAATTGATGGTTTGGATTGCTAGATAGCATTGTTAGAAGAAAATAATTTCGAACGTACAGAAATGATGGATACATATATCTATCTGAGAAAAATAAATAAATAAAACAAGCTGCGGATTTACTTTGTTAAACTAATTCAATTACTTTGAACTATAAGAAAAGGGATTTGGAACCTAGATGCATGCCAATTCATATTTAGGTACATATTCATAAGAATCACATATTGAAATACGATTTTATTGAAACACAATTTATCAGCGTAAGGCAAGTGAAATATAACATTACTGAAACGTAAAAGCGGAGAATTATTGCGGAGAAATAAGCTTGTGGAGAAAGTATTGCATAGTAAGGTATTAGCCGAAACATAGATACTAGAAGTCCAGAAAAGTGGGAGTTTGGTGTGTAAGCTAAAACGAAGCTAGGCCTTGTGAAATGTAACAACATCGAGTAGTTGAAGAAATGAAGTAACAATAAAAACCCATATAAACTAACTAAATTATTTGTAGAAAGCAACAGCAAATGCCATAGGCCCTATTCAAAAGCTTAAAAAATCCCTGGTACAAGAATAACCACCAAAATTTAGGCGTAGAAGAACCAACACGTACCACCAATCTTTATTAATAGCAACAACACACCCTTTGATTTTTTCAACTCACACCACACGTCTGATCCCGTGCCTCCTCCTCTCCACCATCAAAATCTCATCGTCTTATATTTCTTTCTGGAAAGGCATAATACTCTTTTTAATTCTTTCTTTCTTTTGTCCCAAGCATCATCTTGGAGAGAGAGAGGGGGAGAGAGAGAGAGAGAGAGAGAGAGAGTAGTAGTAGTACTGTAGTTGAGAACAAATCAAGGCCATGGCTGCCTGTGGAAGCCTCCATCACATTTTTGAAACCCCATTATCCGATAGCCCAACAACACTTCTTGAATCCTTCTCCTCCTCATGGAACCAAATCCAGCCTCTCAAATCATCCAACATTGACAATAATCCATCATCGACCCTCACTGAGATGTTTGGGGAGCTTCATTTCAAAGAGAATAACAATGTTAATTCTCCAATATTTTCATCACCTTCCATGTCATCCTCCTCGTCCTCATTGACATCTTCGGACGTAGAATTTGACCCTAAAACCAAGATTGGGAAAAATGAGGAGGAGATGAAGAAGATGAATGGCCAGAAGAGCCCCTCAAAGGAGTCCCCTTCGAGCAATTACAGTAGGTCTCAGTCTCACAAAAGCAGTGATAGCTTTTCATCAATGAATTCGGAGAGCTTGCAGTTATGCACGGAGGGACTTGGATTCGAAAGCTCGGACGAGGTTGAGGAACTATTCAAGGAAAGTCCTCCTAGTGATCATGGATATCATGAGGATGAAGAAAACATTACTGTTCAAGAGGAGAAGATTAGTTTTACAAAGCAATATTTTCCAGTTTCAGAAATTAGTTATAATAATAATTGTTGTGGTGGTGAATTAGGGTTTAGGAGGTCAAGGAGTACTAGTGTTGGGGGATTCCCTCCGCCGATATCCTGCATAAGCAACAGCGGGAAGCCTTGGGTTTGCTTCAAGTCTTACAGGCATAATGGCAGGTTTGTCCTCAAAGAAATCAGAATCCCCACCCAAGAGTTCTTGCATGCTCACAGGGAAGATGGGCGCCTCAAGCTGCACTTCGTCATGCCCGACAACGAGATTCTAGGTGAGGAAGACGACGACGATGATGATCTATCCGACGAGATTGAAGAACAAAAAGAAGAAATTGAAGAAGAAGAAGAAGATCATCCAGATGCAGATGCTGCTCGTGATTCAATAAATAAAGAAGGAAATGATAAGGCAAAGACAAATAATTAATGAGGTACAAACATGAGGTTGTTTGGTTTAGGTAGGAAAAGTTTCAGTGTTGAATTTGTGGCATGGGATGCCAATAAGGCTTCACTTCAACTTCTGTGATTAATTCCTCCCAATAGGTAAGGAATTGCAAATAATGTTGGATAAAAGAAAGCAAACAAAAATGTATTTGTATTGCTTTGCCTTAGCCTTTGTCATTGTCAGATAATCATGATCTCTCTGTCTGTTCATCTCTTAGCAGTAAATTAGATTCTTCTTTTTCTTGTTACTGTATATTTTGTTTTGCTTTATTTATATATTTTCAACACACGTTGGCCCAAACCCATTTTTTATTCAAATTTTACTGTTTCACTCAATTTGGAGAACATTTTATTCAATCAGAGAACATTGTATATTTGATGGCTCAAGCTGTTAACTACATTGCAATGTTTGGGAATTGAAGGGAAAATTAAGAAGAAAGGATGAACAGAAGGATGAACACATAGATATTAGAGAGAGAGAGAGAGAGAGTTTAGAGAGGGAAATAGGATTTGTATTAACTAATTAAATGAAGATTACACACACAGTTTTTATAAGAGAAATCCTAACTACTTTAACCAAATACTAACAACCTTACTAACTATATTAGTAACTGTTTCTAACTGTATTACATTTGTACCCTTAATACTCCCCCTCAATCTCAACTGGGGTAACCCAGTTTGAGATTGGAAGAACATTTTTGCAATTAATGCTACGAAACCAGAAAACAGAACACAAAGTTGAACAATTTGCAATCTTGCAATCACTTGAAACTTAAAAAGCTGCTTTTGATGGAATCACTTCTCAGTTAGGCATCAGACCCATCAACAAAAATCAACAGATCCACCACTTCTCCTCTTTTAAGTTTTAATTATGTATTCTTCCACAAACCATAAGTCCTTCAATCTCCACCATACATTCAATGCCACAATGCAACATCTGTTTTTCTTCCTATATGTCCACAACATAAAACAGAACACAATTGCAGCAATGTGAGTATAAAATAGCATGTTGAATATTGCAATTTGAGACATCTGCTTGATCATCATAGCTATAATTGTGGACGCAAATTTCTTCCTCCTTGTTCTTGGACAAAATTGCACCTACAAAACAAATTACACCTTAGGTCAAGGCCAATAACCTCACACGTCCACGATGAATGAGGGGCTTTGGCCGAAGAACCTCCGATGCCAAAGTTAGAATTTTGAGGGAAAAATGTTTGGAGAATTTTGAGTATTTAGCAAGAGTGTAGACCTAGGTTTTTAGAGGAAATGAGGTTGAATGTATAGTGCATGGCTGGTCCTTTTGGGAGATAAAGTGACCAACCTTTTGTGTATTTTTTGGGTGTAATTGGTGGTTTAATTGGTCATTAATAGATTAATTAGGTAATAAATCCATTAATTAGCCAATTGACATAATTTAAAAGAAAAGTTTTGGGGGTTACCTTGTGGAGAGGAATTGATGAGGATGGATGAAATAGGTTTAAAAATAAATACCTATTTGGGCACTTTTGACTTGATTGTGGGATGTTTGTCCACTGCTCACGCGTAGGAATTCCAGTGCTCCTGTCCTTTTTGCCCAAAAATCCACGTGTTGCCTCTTAATTATTTTTGGCTCCACAGTAATGATATGGAAAAGCTAGAATATGTCCTGTAACAACTTGCCAAAACGCAAAAGAGAAATTTGGAAGGAAGTTCAAAACACTTCCAATGGACCAAAGGACCTGCAACCTGCCAAAGACCCGACATATAAATTTTCTGCTAGACTTGTACCAAAATTCGATGAATCTTGACCAAACTATGGATGACCTTCCTACTAATATTGTACAAAATACTTCCAATGGGCAGCAACAACCTGTAGAAACAGAAGACGGCAATAGCAACAATATCTTCTCCCTTCTCATTTTTGGGTCTTAATTTACCAACCCATAGTTTTCCTTCAAAATATATTACTGCCTCTAACAGGAGCTTCAATCAAAGAATAGCCTCTTATAAAGTTGTAACACACCTTCACGCCGGTTATAACAATTTCTTGCGGGTTTACCCTTCATGAGTCAACAATCTCATTCAACTTGGCTTCGGCCTTTAATATTTAAAAAAACAGAAAATTAACAAACTATAGTGTGCCATCGGCAAGATCGCCCTTTGTGGATTTTACCAAAACACAACTTCTCTTAACAGTGGCATCGGCCTTCACAATTTCGACAGCAGAAAATCAACATCTATATATGTAGGATTACCCTTTGTGGGATTTACCTACTCACATCACGGAATTACCCTTCATGGGATTTACCATTAACAACTTCTTCTACCCTTTATGGGATTTTCCTATTTACATCATGGAATTACCCTTCATAGGATTTACCATTTACAACTTCTTCAAACTTCATCATCTAACTGGACTTACTGTAGATTCATGCTAACAACTGAGTTAGTTAGACTCGACATTATAGGCTGAGATAAGGGAAAATTGCTACACAAACTCCTCAACAGAATTGCAAAAAATCAACGAAGCAGAGAGACAAGAATTGGATACTACAAAACTTCCTGAGTAATTCGACAATGAACACAAGAATCCAAGAATCCATACCCATTTGCAGAAAGTTCAAACCCATTAAAGAGACTGAGCAGAATTTCAGGAACAATCCAGAGCAACAATCTTAAACCCAAATATACAACAATGTATTCCTAACTTTCACAAATTCTCAGAGAAAAGAACTCAATAGTTTCAACAACTCAACAAATTCAACAAATGCTACTCAATATATGTAACAAATTCACCAACTTTCTGACTTCGACCTTCTTCAATTATCAACTTCAATGAATACTATATACTCAAACATTCTTGGCATCAGCCTTATCAATTCTCAATTAATAAAACTCATAAACTTCAACAATTGACAACTCTATGAACAAGCAACTTCATAAATCTCTTCAACTACCAACATTTCTTGCAATCAGCCTTAATCATATACTCAAAACCCCGAAACAGATCATATAGAATTCATACCAACACTACATAAAGTTTCATTGACCCATAAAACACAAACACCTTATGTGCAAAATTGAATAAACAAAGAAATGTAACGACCTGATTCCAATAGCACCACCAAAAAATATTACAGCAAGATCACCAATCCAAGAACAAGAACTATACTCCAACAACTTCAAGAACCATACCCAAATCTAATGCAAGTTCAGTAAACGTTATGGAAGGAAGAAGCATAGAACCATACCAAAATCTGCAAATCCTAATCTTGCCAATGAAGGTGGCCATCAGCATGCAATTGCATATGTCAATGGAAATAAGATCCTTTAAGAAGTTGCCCATAAGGAAAGTCTTGATAGAGCACCCAAGATACCATCGATTCCTTACTCTTCACATGAAAATTCTGAGCTAGGCATTTCATCAAACAACTGGACTTCTTTCTTCATTGTCTCACACAATTAGGATTGAAACTGCAACAACGAAACCGACAGAGTTGGTGACAGAAACAAGACGTTGTTGTCATTTGGGAGGCTCCCAATCAAAGAGAAAGACAATGCCAGAGGCTCTTGCTTGGAAGCGAAGGTTCTGATCACGTTTTCGAGCTTGGCGGGTTCGATAAAGGGACTTGAGAAGAAGGTGATACGAGGTCGTGATTTGATTTCGATAAGTTGGGTCCTAATGTGACGACGGGCAAGCACGTTCCAAGCCTTCAAGACCTGGTTTTCAAGGGTTGGATCGAAGTAAAGCTCGATGACATTGCCTTGGGATTTAAAATTCGAAGAAAAACAATCGAATTGGATCGAAATCACCACAACCCAGTTTCAGAAACTAAGATGTCTGATTGCCCATAAACAAAAAGTGAAAGATAAGATGAAATCGAAGTGACCCAGAATTGCAAGAACCAAAAGTTCCAAGAAAAAAATTTATAGATTCAAGAAAATATCGGAAAAAAAAAAAAAAAAAAAAAAAACCAAGAACTACTCAAGAAAGATTGGGATCGAAACCCAACGCCAAGAAGGAGAAGCTCTCGGTGGTGAAATCTCCTAACTATGTTTCTAACTATGTTACATTTGTACCCTTAATACAAGCACCCTTCCCTCCTGTTGACGTTTCAATTAGATTGGGTTAAATTGCTCTGTAAATTATTAACGCGTGTGAGCATGTCACTACTATATGCCACCATCATACAGATAATGAGTGCTAGTGTATGTGTGAGAGGGGTATCATTACTTAACATTTTAATCAAACAACTGTGTTGTGAGTCTCTGAGATGCTGGCTTAGTAAAGATTCTTTTATATGCTTGCTAAGGACTTTACACCTTTGATTGTTGTCTGCTCGAATTTAAAGAGAATAGAGATGAATAAAAACTAATTTTAATAATTCCATTGGTAAAGAGTAAGCATACAATTCTTTAAATAAAACGTAAAGGACTAGAATCTAATAATAATTCTGATGAAAGATATAAAAAAGAAACGTACACCTGAAATGAAAGGGAAACAATGGAAAAGGCAAGATCAAACCATGTACAGCCAGATAATATCAAAGATATCAATTTGTGGATATGGGCATCGGGCAAGGCTTAAAAATAATTAGCATGCATGATTGAGAAGGATAATCAGTCAAGAAGAACGTCAATTGATAATCATACTACAAGGTAGCATCGGTAATTCAAAAAGATTTTGGCTTAGTCTTTGATCCTAGGAAGCTTTTGGGTCGAGAGTATTAGATGATTAGATGATTATAAAATCACTCGTCATGAAGTGAGTTGAAGCTCATTTTCTCTTAAAGCATGAATCCTTGAGAAAGATAATCAGTCAGGAAGAATGTGCACTGAAAATCATACTGCAACGTGGCAGTAATTCAAAATGAACTTCGCCTAGTCTTGGATTCTAGGAAGCTTTTAGGTTGACAATATTAAATTGGTTGAAAAATCTCTTGTCAATTTGTTGGGTCTAAAATGTGAAGCTCTACTTTACCGAAAAGAGAATGAAAGCCCCTGTTGACACTGAGACGAATGTACGGTTGGCGAAGCTAACAAAGCCACCGCCATAATTTTCATTAGAAGACATATGCACGACGCACTGCAAACCAACTACCTCGCTGAAGAGGATCTAGCACTGAGCTTTATGGCTGGCTCTAAAAGAGCACTTTGATCACCAGAAGATGATGTTCTTGCCTAAAACAAGGTAAGACTGGCAACATTTACACTTACAAGACTTCAAGTTTGTGAATGAATACAACTCTGAAGTATGTCAAATTCG